TACAATCTGTATCTGCTTTTTACAGCCACTAAAGTATTGCTAAACTATCAAGAGAAGAATGATTGGAGTACTAAAAGAAGGTCCCAAAGTGAGTCCTTTCTTGGATGAGTAGAGAGCAAACACTGCTATGTCGTGGCTTGAATGTTGCACAATGAATGTTCACCGGGTAATATGGAACGGGTGTCAACGATGCCCAACCACCTGGAGTATTAGGTTGACTATAGGACGAGGGTCGACGTAAGCGTAGTCTACCCTAACTTCATAGTCTGTCTACTTTCAGCCGTGGCCGTCTGGTCGATCCACCACTCAGTGTGGATCGACGCTTGGCCGGACCGGGTAGGGTACGACACTTCACTATTCAGTCCAGTACGCTGATAAGAAAAGATGGCATTGCCTGGTGTGAGTCACTACGGTACTCAACTGTAAGGGATTACGTAGTACTGTATACGTACGTGCAGTACTACGTCTACTACTCAGATCAACAGCTCAGTGTGGATCGCCGCTTGGCCGGACCGGGCCAGGCACGAGTAGATCTTGGCTTGGCCGGACCGGGTAGGGTACGAGTGTACGACACTTCATCGCACGGTCTGACTATTCAGTCCAGTAAGCTGATAAGAAAAGATGGCATTGCCTGGTGTGAGACAGTACGGTACTAAGACAGACTTTGCACTGTGACACATCAGACAGATCTCTTCACAAATTACAGTACAGTATTGTACAGTACTGTAGAATGGGAACAATCAAAATACTGTACTGTACTGTACGGTGTACAGTACACTGTACACCGTACAATAGTACATTGTACCCTATACCATGCACTGTACACTGTGCAGTCATCAAAATCTGATGGCAGTCGTTTTCACCCAGTGATGTCACCCAGCGGGGCGCGATGACCTGCCAATGTGTACAACAGCGGCAGCTCTTGACGTTGTATGGGTGACATTGATTTTGCTATGGATTTGCCCTATCAAGAGCAAGGTAAACTATTGTACTGTACTGTACATTAGGACATACGGTACTGTATCAGCGATCCTATAGACTACTGATCTTTTTCTGGTAGTTTATGCAATAATCAGGTATCATGTATCAGTAGGCCTCACATTGTTACAGTAGCTAGACATACTGTATCAGCGATCCTATGGACTTACTTATTTTTTTCTAGTAGTTTATGCAACAATCACACCCTGGAATGGCAAGCAATTCAGGCCACAGTAGGGTAAAAAGACTCAGGTATCATGTATCAGTAGGCCTCATATTGCTACAGTAGCTAGACATACTGTATCAGCGATCCTATGGACTACTGATCTTTTTCTAGTAGTTTATGCAATAATCACACCCTGGAATGGCAAGCAATTCAGGCCACAGTAGGGTAAAAAGACTTAGGTATCATGTATCAGTAGGCCTCATATTGCTACACTACTGTAGCTAGACTTGCAACGTAGTGTACAGTATACATGTGTACATGGACTATTTCACTTGGGGTGGGCGATTAATCCACAATCTCTCCCGAAAGGCTGCAGTAGGCTTGCAACATACAGTATGCCTCCAATCATACACCGATTGTCAGCCAAATAAGCTACTACAGTAGGTTGGCTTTTACTTAGGGTCTCTAGCTTTTGACCACTTCAGTACTTGCAGCGATGACAAGAGAAACGATCAGTGCTTATGG